TTTATTTTGGTTAAAAATCAAAATAAACAAACCAAACACGCTTTTATTTGGTTTTGATTCAAGCAAACAAGGTCAGGAACATTACATGACCGCAGTATTATACAGTCATACGATGTATTCGGTATGACATAGCCGAAAGATGACGTTCGGAGACTTTTGGCGGGGGTCTGTACATAATAAAAAATTTTCATATTTTAGTTTTATTTAATTATCGTTATTTATATTAATTTCACATTAATGACAGTATTAAAGAATTATATGTTTAAATGAATTTTAATTTGGCAATTGGAAAAAAAATTTTTTCGATGAATTGATTAATTTAATTTATTTTATTGAAAAAATCAATTTGAAAAATGAATGCTATATATTAATATGCCAAATAATTATTCAAATATATTATTTTAATATCGAAAATTTGCTATTTTCCCAGGGAGTGTATGTCAGTGTGTTAATTATCACAATTGTTTACTGGAAATCTGATACTAAAATTGTGGTATGTCAGTCTTTTTATTTATCAAAATAATTGTACCAATATGTGAGTCGTCATTTCTAGACTTTTTATCTCGTGTTCAAGGAATGAAAGACGACAGTTTATACGAATAATAAGTGAATGTACAAAGAAGGTGTGGATGAATCATTAGAAAGATATAACAAATGATCTTTTAGGTCTCAAGCAACAGAAAATAATTTACAAAGAAAAAAGAAAAATAATAATAGTAATGTTCACACAAACGAATAAATCATAAACGAAATGGAATGAATTTTGAATATATTTTTTTTAGGCAATTATTTTCATTACATTTAAATCGACTAAGCTTTTTTGCAGGTATTTAACTAGCTCTTAACTGTCATCTTTATCTTTCTCCAACCTTTATTTATTTATTTTTTTTTTAACTTGTTTCCTTCGTTTATCTCCACCCAATCTCCCATCCATCAATCTATCCTCCAACTATTTCAACATTTTCCTCCTTAAATTTCTTCAACTCCTCCATTGCCTTATCCATCGATTCTTCGCATCTTTTAATTAGGTTTCGATTATTTTAAACGTTGCCAATTGTAAAACGTAAAGTTTAAAAAATTTTTTTTATTGATTAGATTGGCATAATTTCGACCAATGAATGATAAATTAATTAAGATTAATAAAAAAACATAGAATTTCTAAATATATTAATTAAAAAGTTCTGGGTGCGTTTGTTTTTGCAGATGAGGACAAAAAATTCCTGTTACGCTTTATCTAAAAATAATAAACAACCCCTAATCATGATCGGGATGAGCATTTTGAGGATCGCTTGGACTATAATAGAAAATAGAGAACAAAGCTCGGCGATGCTTAATTAAGAAATCCAAAGTGATTATATAAAGTGTATCACCGATGCCCATTCTATTATTTTTTTTTTTATAAAAAAAGTTTCATTTTCTGAAATTAGTATCACAACATTAATTCACGTGGACTTGACCGCTCATCAGAAATCAAATTGTATTTTTTGATGAAACCAATTTTAATTGTATAAAAAACAGGTTGATTTCAATTAAAAATATTTCTAATCTTTAATAATCAAAACAATTTAACAGAATAGGAAATTATAATCATCATATCGATAAATGGTCTTTGAAGATTAATTTTCATGAAAAGATGTTTCATCTTTAATTTGTCATAGGTAAAGTCTGCAAATTTTTTTTGCGCGGTGCAGTTACACTTTAAAGCAATACCTGCGGGAACCCCTTGAAATTCAATGTCTCAAAGGTACAATCATGATGGTCAAATTTTAACATATCAACAATAAAGGAACCCGTGTTTTTTTTTGAAAATTTTCACAATCCAAGTTGCCGTAACGTTACACGAAATCTTTCCTGGTGTAACATTATCCACATAACGGTAATGGATCTAAAATAGTAATTAGTCAACATGCCCCCATACACTTTTTTTTTTCACGAATGAATATTTGAAGAAAAGATTAATTTTATTATATTCATGTGTATGTGTTTTAAATCGTCAAATAAGGTTACCATATTTATGAAGCAATCCAAACGAAATTATTATCGGGAGGATGATTAAATAGATCTTCGATTTTTTTTTTTCGTTGAACGGACTAAAATTACTCAGTAAAAGAAAATTTTGTTGCACCTGCTAATGATACATTTGGTGATTCTGTACCAGCACTTAATCCTTCATTCCCTCCTTCTCACATGTAAGATTTTTTTGCCAAGGAAATGGTAATAACTATTGAATCATATTATCCAGAAGCAAATTAATAGGTTCATGTTAATCTGAATTACGTTACACGATGTTTGCGTGCGTCGAACGAGAAAATTAAATATATTATGGACTTTAATTCGTACAAGGAAAATCTTTTAGTCTGGATTTTGTAGAAAATTTGACAGTTTTTTTAAATTTTGAAATTTTAAAGCAAGCAGGTCAACTGCTTCAACCTTAAGCAATGATGATGTTTGTCCTTTCGTTATGATAGTTAATGTTGTAGAAAAATCTGAAGGAGAAGCAACAGTTTCCTGATGTATTAATTTCTTCCATTGCAAGATATCGTCCTAAATTAGAACATTGATGATCGTTGACAACGATGTAAACCTGTGAAGGAACTTGGTAAACAAAGATACTAATTTATTTAAATTACCATTTGAAGAGCCTTTTGAAATGTTTCAAATCAGCCAAGAAATGTATTTTTTTTTATTTTTTTTTGATTAGCGCAACCGATTTTTTTTCTCTGTTACAAGTAATTACGAGGTGTACTGCACAAAATTTTTTTTTTTTTAAAATTTTATTTTAAGAAAAAATCACTAATGATAAAATATTGTTTTTGATATATATACGTATATACTGGGTATAAATTTATGAGAGAAAATTGTTCTTGCCAAAGATGAGGAAAAAAAGGAAAAAAAAAAAAAATACCTAACCCTCCGAACTTTTATAAAATGGATATCCAAATATGTCTTCTATTATACGATTAAAGTGATAATAATAAGAAAAAATTAGTAACCTTAAATAAAAAAAAGAGAGAGAGAGAGAGAGAGAAAGAATTTTTAAAGAATTATTTTGCAAGAGACCCTTTTAATTAACTCAAGAATTTACCCTTACCATAAACGCCATATTTAAAGAATCTCACTTCACTTATCTTGAAAGATCTCGTATTCCATAACTCTTTTTTATCTAATGAAATGAACTCCCTTAATAAAGATTTTCCCAATTTCAATTCTTTTAATCGATGATTAAACCTTTCGCTAAATTTAATAAAAATCTTTCTAATACTTTCATTAGTATTATATAAGTTTAATATTTCCATCGTGGATAAATTTGGTAAATAAGCATTTACTAATATTTGCTCAATGTCATACTGATAAACACTACCGCCTAAACCAAAATATTGTAAAGTACTCGGTAACAAAAATTCTATTGATCTTGAATGATAATATATGGTATCTAAATATAATGAGATCAAGGGAAGTTTTCTAATAACATTTAATGAAGAAGCAATAGATTCGTCTTTTAATGAGACATGAAGATGCGTAATATTCGGACAATATAACTCAATGGTAGAAAAGATTACGGAATTCGCATCTCTAAAGTAAAATTTTTTTAAAGAGTGATCCACAAGCCGTAAAATGGTATTAACTTGTTTAAAAACGTCTCGTTCATCACAATGAACATTTTGTACTTGAGGGAGATAATTTTGAGGTACTATAAGTTGTGATAAATTCGAAGATGATGGAAATTGTTTGAATTCCAAAGTGCGCAACGAATTAATCTGTTTCATGTAATGAAAAAATGTTTGATCAAAGTGTATTAACGTGAAAAATTTAATGAATTCTAATGAATTTGAATGGGATAATAATGAGCTAAAGATCAAATCCGTTGAACATTGCATCCAAAATTCATTTGTACAAAAACTCTTTAAAGAATTTTGTGATCGAATGAGTTCAGCGACGGATAGATCTAATTCTGTTGGATCCTTAACCGATTGATTATGATACATCAAAGAGTTAGGCCTTTGAAAAAGTTTGGAATCCACTGAAGTTTCAGGGAAATAAAATGATAAATGTTTAATATTCCTTGTAGTTTTGGACATTTGTCTAAACAATTTTGGTAACGTTGTAAAGTACATTTCATTTGAATATCCATGTCCTAAGAATTCCAATGTATTGATTAATGATAAATCTGAATAACACAACTTTTCCAAGAAATCCGCACGTGAGAATTCACTATTATTAACATATTTAAATTTTTTTAATGAGGAAGAATGATTAATTATTAAGTCCATCATCATAGAATCCAAGGTTTTTTGAGCACGTGAGATATGCCACCCTTTATTAGCGAAATAAAAATTATTTCTAACCCAATCCTTCATCGCAACGGTGTAGTTAACTATGTTAAAAACTTCCAAATATTTCGGATAATATAATAATGGACTTGCAGTATGCAAAGGTATCATTAACCCTAAGCTCTTCAAGAATTTTTTATTCTTTACACTCAGGAGAGAGACATACGTATTAATTACTTTTGGAGTGTATTTCAGTGAGTAGCGTTTAAATGGTGCGCTCCATAATATTGGTGCGATTAAACTACACCACAATCGGTTAACTCTCATGCATGAGACGAGTGTTCTTCGATCGTCCTTTAAGTAAGAAAATACTTCAAGTAAACAGTCGGGTATGAGAGATACACATGTGTTTGATCGTGTTGAATAACTTTTAGGTGATATTATCAATGCAAATAAGCAAATCAATAACTCTGTCACTTTTTTTGGATCTATGAGAAAGTGTTGAAGTGAAAGGATGTATTTATCAATACTTCGTATGCATAAGGGAAAGAAACAAAAAGTGAAACTTACTCAAATCCATCATTGAGAAACCAATATGATATTTCAAAGAGAAAAAAGAGAGAGAGAGAGAGAGAACAATTTTTCAAGGAGGTATTTTTTTATCGTTATAAATAAATTTTTTTTTTAAATAAAAAAAATCTAACCAAAAAAAAAAAAAAAAAAAAAAAAAAAAAAAAAAAAAAAAAAAAAAAAAAAAAAAAAAAAAATAAAAAAAAAAAAAA